CTTTCGCGAACATTTAACAGTTGACAACATGTTTGCTTCATGTCAGCGACACTATTGATCAAGTGTCACGGGACGCATGCTACAGAACTTGGTTTCTGTGCTTGTGAGAGATGCAGACTTCGTCGTGCATTTCGCATCCGCGTGAATGTGCTGCAGCGTTTCGGCCTTCAGGGCGGTAGGCCGCATGGAAGCCACAGCACTCACGGAACAGGAGCTGCTAGAAGCTCTGACCGAGCTGCACGCTCGCGTTGATCAGCTGCAGGCTAGGGTCGATCATCTGCTAGATCTCATCAACAGACAGTACGCCAGCATCGATCGACTTAATTTTCGACACTCTGAGACGTGGGCTCGCCTCTGCTCCTTTGGCCAGCGCCTTCAGCGCGTCGAGGGTCGTCCTCAAGATACCGACGCAGAGGCCGCCACCAGCTCACAGACATTGTGCTCTTTTCTGCAGTCTCTCGATTGAGTGCAGTGCGTGCCTGTGCCTAGCCGCATGTCAGCATCAGCTTCTCGCCACGTGGGGTTGCATGGTTCAGTTTCTGATGCTTGCGACAGACTCGAGGCGCAGCTCAGGCATTTGAACTCAGATGTTGTTGCACCTCTCAAGTTCCCGTGGGAGAGGAGCCAGGCTCTTTCGGCAGTCTTTTCAAGTGCACCTGGCAGGGCTGTTGACTTCCGACCCCTCAAAATCCCTAGGGTCATCCCTCCGCCAGTGACCCCGTCTACGAGGCCCGGGGATACCTCTCCGAAGCTTCAGGCATCGCTTGCACCCGTCACCAAGCCTTCTGCAGTGTTTGAGCAAGTGCTCAGGAAACCCAGGCTTGATCCAGGTGCCAGGGTTGGTGCTGGTTCTGAGGCGTTGGCTTTGTGTACTCAGCCACGAACCATCGGCATCAGAGCTAGGTGGCCTCATCTGGAAGGACGGAGAGAAAGATCCTTTAGGGGTGGTGTCTCAGGCTTTGGCTGGGAAGGCCACCGCGACTCTGCTTAAGAGGGTCCGCTGCTGCGCGAGGTTCATAGAGTGGGGCCGGGATCATTCCACTGCAGTTTTCCCGGTGACCCTCGATTTTGCCATAAGCTTTCTTAAACCCCTTGCTGCCAGCAAGCAGTGCAGTGCCATCAGAGAGACGCTTGAAACTTTCAATTTCCTTCAGCATGTTGTGGGCATGAAAGTTGAGCCTGGTATCATTGCCAACCCGTGGGTCAAGGGCGCCGTGCGAGGAGCCAACATAAGGACGTCGGACCCCCGCAGGTCGAGGGTCCTCACAACGTCCGAGGTGCTTCTTCTTGAGACCGCCCTCATCGAGGGGCATCATGATCGTGTGGATCGGTATGCAATCGGTGCTTTCTTGTTCCAGCTCTACGCACGGGCGAGGGTCTCTGATCTTCGCAACATTTCCAAGCTAGAACTGGACCTGAACGACGGTGCTGGTTTCATCGAGATTCGCACTTACGAGCACAAGAATTCTAGGCTCGGCAGCGGGGCTGGGGCTCCACGTCCAACCCTGGGGACGGGCGTGGGTGCAAGCTGCAACTGCCGTAGGTTTCGCCTTTGACAAAGGGCACCGAGGACCTATCCTCCCGAGGCTATCGAGCGACTACAGCTGGAGTGGGGATGCGACCGATGCCAACGAGACCACTCGCTGGTGTCGTGGGATTCTTGCTCAGCTCACTGGGGGCCCCATCGATGAGACTTTCTCGAGTCACGGCCTAAAGGCTACTCCTCTCAGCTGGACATCCAAGGCGGGATACCCAGAGCGCACCCAGCTGATTCTAGGGCATCATTCGCTGGGTCCACAGGAAAGACTCAGGAGTCCTACGCCCGTGAGGTTCAGGCGCAGCCTCTACGTGACCTGGTGGAGTGCATCGTCGCCATCCGGCGAGGCCTGTTCCACCCAGACCGGACGCGCAGCGGCATGGTCACTCAAGGCGCTCTGGGATCTCATTTCAAGTTCGGTGGAATCGATGCACACGACTTTGTGTGTGCTCCTCCCTCCGATTCGGCCCCAGCTAGTGCACGTGAGCCTGCACCAGCGGAGGCCCCTCAAGGCTCGCCGCCCGAGGAAGCGGGGTCTCCCACCAAGGATGGGGAAGCTTCTTCGGGCTTCCAGGATGACGTGGCTGATCCCCAGAGTGAAGAGTCCGAGAGTTCTGGTGATTCCGAAGGGGACACCGTTTATGAGAATTTTGGTAAAGGGATCACACAAGATGCGATCCCGGATGTGAATATGGGCCCAGATCTTGACATCTTTCAAAACCCGAAAACCAAGAGCTTGCATGCGCGGGCGAAGGGCTCGACTGGCAAGCTGATCTGCGGCCGATCACTTGACAATATGAAGACCTTTCAAGGAAAGGTTTTTAGTCACCGTTGGATGTGCAAACAATGCATTGCAGGGCGTCCCGTGCGAGACATAGGAGCCCTCAACTCTTTCCTGGCCAAGAAGCAGGGAAGGTCTGCTTGATCGACTCAGGAAGCCGGGGAAAATGATGCAAGAGCGGCAGGGTCAAGCAAGGTGCATCGCGATTGGTTTGTGTTACCCAAACTTCATCAGAGTTCGGAGCAACTCTGACGCTCATTGCCGCAATGAGTGGTTTGGCGAACCAAGTCGGATGTCACCTCAGAACCATGCCACTTTGTCAGTGTTCCTCAACGGGGAGAGGTCGGTTCGGCGGGACCGGGCATCCTTGGTGAATGGCACCAGGGCCGTTGAGCTGACAATCGTGGGCAAGGTTTGCAGAGGGCGCCAGTTCAAGCCGTTGAGTGCATTTTTTCTGCTTGGAACATGAGAAATCCTGCTCGTGTCAGTCACGTGCATATCGTTCCGAGACGTTTTTCTCCCCAAGCTTATTCCTAGGCCTGCGGCACCATGGCTCAGACTTTGGTTGAATCCAAAGCTGTTTTCCTGGAGCGGGCTAGCCGGGTGGGGCTGCCTGATGAGGCCGTCAAAAGGCTCGTGGATCAGGGCATCGACACGATGTCGAAGCTAGCCTTCGCTCCGTGTCAGCCAGGCGAGACTCCGTCCGAGGAGTCGTTGACCGGCCTGATTCAGACCGAAGGAGCAGAGCCGTCCAGGGGCTCGATCGCGGCAGTTCGCCATTTGGTTTTTGAAGCGCAGACCTTACTAGTGAGCCAGACCAAAGCCCTGGTCGAAAACCGGGAAGCAGAAACCAAAGATCTTGCGCCGGCTGAGCGCAGGGAGAGGATAAAAACCCAATCGCAGCGATTGGCAGGCATCACCATGGCAGGTCAGAGTGAGTGCAGTTTCGCATCCTACGACTTATGTATGAAATTGCTCACTGAGAACTGTGTTTCTTACCTGGCGCCATCGAAATGTATCACGCGGGAGGCTGAGCTGCGTGCTGACAAACCTCGCAAGGAGCTCGACCTCCAGCACTCGACTCTCATTGTCAAAGAGAGAGAGCCTGATCAAGTGTGCGATACCTCAACTGCCCTCAGCCTCCATCATGCCCTTCACCGCCGCAGCCTCGCCCTGGACTTAATCGGGGTCACTGACTACTTCAAAGTCCAGGCCTTTTTCTGATGGCACATCTGCATCAGGAGCCTGCCGCAGGCAGTCGTGCCACTACCGTCCAACAAATTCTGTTGGCCGACCGTGCTGCCTGGCTTCGCCTCTCAGAGCTCACGCCGGATGGGATTAGGCGCGACGAAGCCGGCCGGCTCCCGCTTGATCCTCTGTGGAAGCGACTTGAGACGGACCCCAAGGTCATTTTTCACCTTCTCCCCCGTGAGGGTAGCACCACGGCTACAGCTAAGCGCACCGGTGAGCACCTTGGAGATTCCGAAACCCCCTCTCCAGGCCAGAAGCAGCGCAAAGGCAAAGGCAAGGGGAAAACTAAGACCCAGAAGGAGCCTGCCAACCTGCCCGAGGAGCTTAAAGGCTTGTCCTCCTGGACCAAGACCGGCAAACGCCGTTGTTGGGGCTTCAATATGCAGGTCGGATGCGCCAATGCAAAGGTGGGCCAGGCGTGTCCGCGAGGACTTCACAACTGCATGAGATGCGGAGGGCACCATCCGGCCCATGCCTGTCCTAAGAAGCCCTGAAAACCAAGCCTGCCCGAGACGCCTGATCTTCAACAGTCTTTTCCAGCCTCGTCGGAGGATGATGTGGATGCCGCTGGAGTGGCCTTGGAGGCTGCCCCCGCCCCTGCTTCTGCAGCACCCTCCCCTAGCACTGGTCAGCAGCTGTCCAGCTTTTTCTGTGTTGAAGTTTTCGCTGGTTCGAGCAGGCTTTCCGCAGAGTTGAAATCTTCAGGTTTTCGAGATAGTGTTGGGGTCGATCACGTCGTTCCTAAGCACATTGTCTCCCCAATTGTCAAGCTTGATCTTCTGGAGCCGGATTCTGTACAGATGCTCTTTGACATGATCGATTCTCCGTTTTGCATATACGTGCACCTAGCGCCACCCTGTGGCACGGCCAGCCGTGCCCGCGAAATACCTGGCCGGTGCATGCCTCAGCCCGCCCGTTCCGAAGCACACCCCGACGGGCTACCCACCCTGCAAGGCTCCCTTCTCGACCGCGTGCGCAAGTGCCGCACAGTTGTACGGTCTAGCGGGTCGCATTTTCTCACACTGCATGCGCGCAGGCAAGCTGGTTTCATGCGAGAACCCAGCCAAGTCGCATTTCTGGAATACTTCCTTTTGGCGCCAGGCGACCGATCAGCTGCCCTGGCATGATACGGTTTTTCACCATTGCCAGCACGGTGGACAGCGGGCCAAGCTCACCCGCCTGCGCCACAACATCCCGCTGATGTCCGAGCTTGCCCTCCTGTGCCCGGGCGAATCTCCTGAGCATCGTCATCTACCATGGACTCGCGGCCCCGAAGGGTTTGCCACTGCTGATGAGAAGGTTTATCCTCTTGTGCTGTGCCGCCGCATCGCCGACATAGTCCGGCGTTCAGTTGCCGCCATGGGCATTCAACTGCCCCCTCTTGCCCTCGAGCCTGGCGCCTCGTCCCCTGCCCATGAAGCCCAGGCCGCTGCTGGCCACCAGCCTGCTGGCAAAAAGTTACCACCCCTTGTGCCCGAATTCCGCCAAGTGCTGGTACTTCAGAGCCCTCGCCCTCTGCTCGTGGGCGTCCGCAAGCTTGATACGACCTTCGACATCCCAGCAGATGTTTCTTGCACTTCTGCCATCAAGACCTTGCCTGCCGGTACCCGTGTCCTCCGGCACAGTGTTGTGGGGCATCCCGGTGCCGCCGAGGACCCGTGCCCAGCCGTTGACTCGAGCCACGACCCCCTTGAGATGGGGCCCGAGGAATTTTCGCACTACGGATTGCAACTTGGCACCACTGCTACCGACTCCTCCTGGCGTGAAAGCATCAGTCATTTGTGTGATCTTCTCCGATCCGACCCCTTAGCCAGGGGAGGCTTAGGCAGTGACGAGCTCTCTTGGACATGCGGGGCCTACACGCATGCCAATGTTGTGGGCCTCCGGAAGAACACTTCCTCACACCCCAATGTGTGCAAGTTCCTGTGCGAGTATGTTCGGAGGGTCGCACCCGGCCATCCATTCACATCTATCATGCTGGGTAGAAACCTTCAGGGTGACGTTCACATCGACAAGAACAATGCCGTAGGGCTACCCAATGCTGTGCTCAAGATCTCCAACTTCGACAAGGGAGGCATCTGGGTAGAGAGCCCGGAAGGAACAGTCAGGTGCCCTTCCCCAAATCATCCTGATGCCCTGGGAGAAGTCATTGATTTCCGTAACGACAGGATTTTCTTCAGTCCGGACTGCAGGCACTGCCAGGCCCCGTGGGATGGGGGACCTCGAATAGTTTTGGTTGCCTATACCATCCGCAACTTCGAGAAGCTGGGGACGGAACACGGGCGTCGCCCCTCGGAGCTCGGTTTCTGCTTACCTGCATCGGAATTGCCGACCTCCCCGGGCAACGTGGGACACCCAGTGCACACGGACACTCCTGTCCCTCCCCTTTCGGGTCTAGGTCCTCCCTCTTGCCCTAAGGATCTGCGTGGCAGGGTTCCCGACAGGTTCCATAGGGTAGTGGTAGGCATCCCGTGGACCCCCGAAGAGTTCATAGAGAGAGCGGTCCAGGCCAAACACCCCAGGCACATCCTGGATGGGATCCCGGAAGAGACCAAACGTGCCGTGGATCAGCTGGCGAGTCTTTCCCTCAGCGAGATTGGAACTCATCGCACTGAGGCTCTTAGGAAGTGGATTGGTCGTGCTCGAGAACTGGAGGAACAGGAGGAGGCAAACCGCGAGACAATGCCCCAACATTGTGCCAAGGTACTAGGTCGGAAGCGCCTCGTTCTTTTCGAGGAGATGCTGTGCGAATGCGGCCACGAGGACACATCGATTGCTCGAGACATCGGCCAGGGGTTTGATCTCAGTGGTGCTATCCCTAGGAATCCTGCTGTCCGCGCAAAGCGATCGACAGCATCCCTCCCCGAATCCGAGTTGCGTCGCACCGCGACGGTGACACGGGAGGCTACTCTCCTAGCCACCAAGAGCTCGGGCGACCCAGAGCTTGACCTCGCTCTCTGGGAGGCCACACAAAAGGAGGTGGACCGGGGATGGTTACGTGGACCGGTCAACCCCCGGTCTCTAGATCCGGAGGCGGTTATCTCGCGGCGTTTCGGGATCTGGCAGGGAGACAAGTGCAGACCGATAGATGATTTCCGGGCTTCGGGAGTCAATGCTACCACGTCAGCGGAGGACTCGGTTACCGTCCACTCTGCGGACACCATTGCTGCCTCCATTGCCTACAGGTTGAAGGTGGATGGCAAATGCCGCCGATACGGTGGGCTCGAGATGAAGTCGTACGATCTCCACAAGGCCTACAAGAACCTTCCCCTTAGTACCGGGGCGGTGGAAATTGCTTACCTCTCGGTGTACAACCCACACAAGAAGACTGCCGAGGTCTTCGAGCAATGCGTGCTGCCCTTCGGGGCACGCGCCTCTGTGCACTCCTTTTGCAGGACTTCGCTCGGGATATGGACTGCCGGAGTCCAGATACTACTCCTGGCATGGTCGGTATATTACGATGACTTTGTGAGTTGCGAGGTCCCGCCACTTACGAGGATTTCCGACTTGTGTGCGGAGTCTCTGTTCCGCTTACTGCAATGGGACACGTCTCCGGACAAGCCCACGACCTTCGGAAGCATCGCTAAAGTCTTGGGCCTGGAGTTCGACCTAGGAGACACGCGTCTTGGGCGTTTCTACATGCGGAACACAGCCAGCAGGCGTGATGAGCTTCGCGGCAACATTAGCAGTATCCTCGAGCAGGGAAACCTGCCCAGGAAGGAGTGCGAGAGACTTCGGGGAAGGCTTCAGTTTGCATCCAACCAGATTGCGGGAAAGCGAGCCGGCAGGGCCTTCAAAGTTTTGACGAAGCATCTCATCAGCAACCGTTCGGCGTTGGGCGATGATCTAAAGATCGCTTTGCTCTTCCTGCGTGACTGCTTTCTGGACGGGCCGCCAAGATCCTTGAATGCGAATATCCTTCATCTCTGGCACATTTACGTGGATGCTTCCTGTGACGACAACAAAGTCGGCCTGGGAGGCGTGCTTGTTTCAGAGCAGGGATCAATGGTTGCATACTTCAGTGAGTGGGCGGCCGACGAGCTGAAAGAGATCGTCGCTCCTACTAGCAAGAATCCGATCTTTGAGTTCGAGTGCTTGGCAGTGCTGCTTGCCGTCAAAACTTGGACGGGCCTGATAAGCGGCTGCAATCTGGTAATCTTTTCTGACAACGAGGGCACAAAAGCTTGCCTGGTCAAAGGATCTTCCGACAACGAGGTGGGCATGGCCATCGTTGACAGTGTCCACAAATCACTGGACGATGCGGGCTGCAACGCATGGTTCGAAAGGGTAAACACCGCTTCGAATATCTCGGACGGGCCATCGAGGGGTGAACAGTCTGAAAGCCTGGGAGTACGTTTCGTGACAGATGCGACTTCAGTCGCGCGATCAGCGCTGGTTCCATGGGGTGTCGTCAACGCATGACGCGCTCAAGCTGTTGCACTGGTGTGCATCAGCATTTGTGCATCACGGTATGCACGTGTACGTTTGTGCATCGCGGTATGCATCAAGGATGGAACTTTTGCATCGTCTCGAGAACGGGTTCTCCCCGAAGCTTTCGGCTTTCCGCCAGAAAAAAGAACGATGGTCGTCCGAGTGTTTGCAGGTTCCGATTTACCACATACTTTTGAATATAAAGATTCCGATTTGCAATATGAATTTTCATATTGGAGTTGCTTTTTCAATATTCTGCACAATTATACGGAACATGGAAATAAG